GTGTGCATCATGGAGGTGGAGGAGCGAAGGGAAAAACCTCCAAAACTGCATCTCAATTTGACTTCTGAGCAGATGCATAAGGATGTCACATTCATATCTGTTTGGAATAGCAGCTTCTGTATGATCATGCTAACATATTCAATTTCATGACACACAAAGCTTTGGATAAATTATTTGCATTGCCTACTTCTACATTGCAAAAGATCAGAGGATAGTTGAACTCCAACATGTTATCTATAAATACTATTTTCACTCATTCCATAAAGCATTTTTATACACTCTTGAAGACATAAGCTCCCCTCAAGAAAAAGACTGTGCTTACATACGTAAAACTTGTTTTCAGAGGTGTCAGCAAAGGATGATGGAAATTTCTGCTGTTGTTCATGCTAATGTCAGTCACATGTGCCAGCAATTCGTCAAAATTCATCAGCCGATCCATGGACGACCCAACCATCCGTTCATAGCTAGTATATGCTGTTAAGGAACTACAGCTGTAAATTTTAATAAGATGACTTCAAGAAACTAGCTTCAACAAATTCTATCAATGAGTATACTTTGCTGGTTATAGTTAGCTGAATTTGAAAACTCCAAAAAAATTCTTAAGACTGAATCAATCCATGCAAAGAATACAAACGCAATCAATGCGTTAGACGAAGCATATCTTGGTAGATAAAAAGATGCGACAAGATATCACAACACATATGCCCACCCAAGAATAGCAGAACAAAAATCATACAAGAGACAGACGAACAACCCAGCAGCTTGAGCCAAATGAGGAGGTTAGGCCAGGGTTATACCGAGAAAGAGCCAGCTACTCAGAAGCTGCCTGGGACGTCCGGATGTATGCCGTTATAACGAATTCTACTTAGTCATTATGCTATGCTCTGATCCGCGTCCCGTTTAAGGGCATTCCACTGACCACTACCCTAGCTCTATCTACTCGCCCCCTCCCAAAGCTTGATAAACTATGTAAAACTCGAAAGTTTGCGTCTCTAAAATAATTTCACCCAAAACTCTATGACCATCTAGTGATTCTCCCAAAGTTATGCCACTATTCCGAACGCAGAAAACTCGCACATAAATGACAGATTTATTCACACAGTCCAATATTGTTTGTGTAATCTTAAATCCATATCATAAAAATAAATACCGGAGCACCAATGAGGAAGGAAACTCTTAAAAATTCTTTCTCTTAAAACCCTTAATCATTATACAGGAATATCACAATAAAGAGCAACCCGAAGTGAGAGACGCAAATAGTCCAAAGTAAATGCGTACATAATAAAACAGATTCTCAAAATAACTGCGAGATTCATAATATGTGTAAACTGAAACACAATCATGTAAGAGCCAATAAGCAGATAATAGTTGAATATGTACATAACAAATTATTAACAATTAAACCGAAGTATGCAACTAACTATATATACATATTCCATTTCTTAATCTCTACAGATTAATTATCGTGTTCCGTGACCAAAAGTTTTTAAACCTCTTTCCTTATGAAAGCCTAATAAAACTAGTAAAAAGGATATAATTGTAAATCATACCTAGAATAGATATCCGATCCCAACTGGCCAACTGCGCCGAGTTGCATTAGTAACGACTGCCACATGGAAGACCCAACACCGTATCTACTTCATGTCACAGCTCCCTTTATCTCCTGTAATACTCTGATGTAAGGAAGGAAGTAACATAAAAAAGTTAAACTTTACATTTACTTCTACAATAGCCAAGTGGTGGCCCGAAAGGTTGTTCTATGTTGTATCAAATGAAGAATGATTGAATAATTGAAAGTGAAGTGTAAAATACTCAAATTGAGCTCTTTAAAATGAATGCTGATATGTTGCATACAATTTGCGAAGATGAGCAGTTTCGGAAAATAAATGAGAGCACAAATGTGCCATACTAATTTTATCCTAAGCACTTTTACTATTAATTAGAAATTTTCTCTGGGAGAACCTCGATCAGAAGTGAAAAGTATTGTAATAGAATACAAGTAGGTATATAACCACGAATATCATTTGTCCCAGAGGTATAAGTTGAGTTAAAAACCGTAAAAATGATAAAAACACACTGTATTCTAAGCAGTGAAACAACTTTTGATACATTCCTAAATTTGACCAAATGTCTCAGCCTCAGAAATTATTCATCATTCGTCCCCCTTTTTTGTTGTTTATAAAGCCCACATTCCTGATCCAGCTATATTCAAAATATATCTCTCACATCCGTCCGTTTTCCTCTCCTCTCTCTATCTCTTTCCCTGCTCTGCATCCATAAGGTATATCTTTAAGTCTTTCTTTCACATTTTCAAGTATTCTCAAAAGAATAATCATACACACTTACACTTACTGCCTGATACTAAGCAAGAGTCTTAGTTTTGCCAAGATTAAAGTTATATGCTGGAGGCTATCAAAGGCTTGCAAAACCATCCTCTCATTTGGTTCAGACTTGTGTGTAGTAGGAGGCCATTTCAGCTAAACTTTTCTGAGTAAATAGGGCTAATTAGCTATGGAACTTCCTCACATCACAGGAGTTTAATCCTCTCTAGCCTTGGTGTGCTGGCCTTGTCTTGAGAAGCGGGCTAAATCTAAAAAGTCAGTGTTAACCCAAACTATTCATTCAGAGAGAGCAAGTGCCCAACTCAATCTAGTGCGCGGTGCTTACACTAACTTATGTTTAGATTCAGCGAGCAATCATATTCAACGAAGCCTAATAAACTATAAGCCAAACAGTGAACTTAACCTAATATAACTCACTTAAGCCTAACTGATTTCACAACCTCCCACTAAAACTTAAATCTTACTATTATACTTTATATCAGAATGTTTCTGTTAGTTTGCGTAAGACTACTAACTTCAATGTATCCTATTATTAATGAGACTGTTTAAATTCAATCAAAATTGTAGATAAGACAAATACTGTAACCAAAGCCAGGTTCTACCTATCATCCAAGACTCTCAAAGCTCTAACTCTATATCATTCTTTCATAACTGTAACCCAAAGAATACTATCCATAGGTGAATCCTATGCTATGAGATGATTAACTAGAGTAAGGCGTGACTTTTTGATCCACTTATATTCTTGCTTGTAGAATACAAAGAGAATAACGGCGGATATTGTATCCACCATGGCATAATTACATAATATACCAATAGATAGTAATAACAACATTACGATGTAGATGTTTAGCGATAGACAACAGACATCACTATACACTACCTCGTATATCTCGTACTATAAAAATGTCTTAATTGGTCATGAATTGAAAACAGAAAATCCGATAAACTAAGCGATGATCTGGCCTGTAAATATAACCGTGAATCCATCAACTAAATTGACGTAGTAAATGAAAGTATCGTTAAAATATCTAGAATTTAAGAATGGTTAATCGCTGCTGTAACGTTTACGAAAAGGACTGCAGTCCTTATGGGACCGCTCGTAGTTTACTAACAATCGCCAGGCCCGGCTTGAAATCCACCACCCACAGCATCTCTCACATAGATAAAAACAAATAAATTTCTCTTCCTTAATTAACTTCTCGAAGGGCGGTGGCGGTAGTTTCAGCAAGCGGTGTCGGTCAACTCCCCTAGGCTTTGGTCAACGTCGACTCAATCGCCCAGGATCCTCTCAAGCAGGCACTGTGCTTCGTTGACAGCCTATTTCTGAAGTCAAAAATATACTGACACTATTTGAACCTACGCATATCATTTCACGTTGAGCATGTGTATTTCATCTTTGTTCCCATTCTTATACGACAGTGTCAATAGATTTTTCCTATCTCACGTAAAAGTGTACCAAGTATTATATGTTGCACAATTTTCTTATTATCAACAAGCAACAGAAACACCACAAACAGTCTTATTTTATCACTCTATCCACTACATGCAAAGTTTGTCTTATACCATACAGTAACCTAAAACTGGCTATGTACCCTGGAACCAATATACATTAAAGATACACATAAATAACACATAATTATCATGAAATAAAACATTAACTATACATATATCACAGTCGCTCTCCATATTACACACACACCTCCAACATTACCAAACAGAAACTAACAAATATCAAAATAAAACAATGCCAAACACCCTTTGACCTCAACATTACAAAACACGAATCAAAAAACCCCGATGGTGACCTTTGACCTCGCATTTCCAGGGCAAAATACTGCACATTATGGCTCTCTCTCTCGATTTAACACACTGTCTCCTCTCATCTCCTCAAGCTTCATCTACACCTTATTCTTAACACTCATCAATCTTAATTAACACCTTTTGTGAAATTCTACAAAAGTATCGATCGATTATCTTTTTAAAACATGCGAAAAGTTTAAGAATTAAAAAAGGAAATAATCTACATTTCCTCCTTATCTCTTATCTACAATCTACATTTACTTGACTATTATGGCGTCTCTCACCTTCGGTCACCTTAATAATTAAGAGGAAAAAAATTACCGTCGATAATATTTACTCAAAACGTCATAGTTTGAAAAAAATTTGCATCTTTTTACATTATTTGCAAGGGCGAGGTGGTCGCTTAGACGGACAAGATGATAACAAATAGTTTTTCTCTCTATCTGTTTCCTTCTCTCTCTCTCGTTTTCGTTCTTGTTTTCTTTATTTGGCTTTGTATTTGTCTTTCATTTTTCCGTATTCTTTTCACTTTCTTTATCTTTGTATTTGTCTATGTCTTTCTTTTTCTTTATTCTTTTTATTTTCTTTGTCTATTTCCTTGTTTCTCTTAATTTTCGTTTTTCATTTATTTTGTATTTCTATTTCTCCTTTTCTTTTCTTTTTCTTTCTTTTCTTTTCTCTTACACATTCTCCTTTCTTCTCTCTCTACTCTCTCTCTCTCTCTCTCTCTCTCTCTCTCTCTCTCTCTCTCTCTCTCTCTCTCTCTCTCTCTCTCTCTCTCTCTCTCTCTCTCTCTCTCTCTCATTATCATCTTATCATTACTTTTCTCATTACCATTACTATCATTATTGTCATCATTAGCATCGTTGTTATCATCATTAATACTTTTATTAGAATGTTATTATCATCAAAATTGTGATTATTAGCATTATTGATTTTATCATTCATTATCATTATAGTCATCATAGTATCATTATCATTATGATAGCAACATCATCATCACTATTTTATTATCACTTATTATCATATTTTTTTCATTATATTATTGTTATTTGTATTATTATTATTATTATTATTATTATTATTATTATTATTATTATTATTATTATTATTATTATTATTATTATTATTATTATCATTATTATTATTATATTATATATATTATTATTATTATTATTATTATTATTATTATTATTATTATTATATTATATTATTATCATATTATTATTATTATTAATATCATTATCATTATCATTAATATATTATTATTATAATATTATTATTATATTATATCATTATTATTAACATTATTATTATTATTGTTGTTGTTGTTGTTGTTATCATCACCATTATTATCATCGTTAAATATTATATTATAATTCTTATCTTTATTACTATTATCGTTATCATTATTGTCATCATCATCATCACCACCATCATTATCATCCTCATCCTCATCCTCATCCTCATTATCATTCTTATTATCATTATTACTATCATTATCATTGTTATCATCATCATAATTGCTACTATCATTATCACTTTTACCATCATTATTTTATCGCTATCATTACTATTATAACTTATTATTGTTGTTATAATTATTATCACTATCATTGTCATCATTAGTATCATTATTATTATCATTATTTTTTTCCATTATCAATATCAGTATTATTGTCATTATTATTGTTATGCTTGAAATGATTACTATCATTATCATTATCATTATTTTTATTATTATTATCATTATCATCATTATAATTATAAGTATTACTATCATTATTACTATTATTATTATCATTATCATCATAATAATAATTATTATTATTATTACTATTATTATTAATATTATCATTATAATAATTATTATCATTATTATCATCATCATCATTATCATCATCATTACCATTATCATTATCATCATAACTATTGTTCTTCTCATGATTATCATTACCATTACCATTATCATCATATTTATTTTCATCATCATCAATGTTCCCCAATTTCTTTTTTATCCATCGTTGGCATATTCTAGATAATCATTATCATCATGAATATTATCACGCATATTATTCATAACATTACTGTCACTTTATTCTTACTAATGTCATTACCACAAGTTTAACCACCAAAATGCATTAAAACAAGGGGCTATAAAGATAATACAAGCAGTTTATAAAACCAGTAATTACTGTGAGCTTTCAACGACACTTTATGAAACTTACCATGAGTACGCGTATTTCTCAGCCATTTCAGAATATCCATTTTAAGAAGAAGGTGGTTGGTGGTTTTTAATTTCTCCGGAAAAAAATAGAAATGTCTGTGCTCTTCGACTGTTTATGTCTGTTTGAGCTCAAGGAGGAATGGAATACTAATCTTGGCGACGGTGTTTGTGCATCTCTCTTATCGAGTGGTATTTGACTATCAGGTAAGACTCTTTCCCCCCCCCTCACTCTCTCTCTGTATCTGTATCTTTATCACTATCTGTATCTCTCTCTCTCTCTCTATCTATCTCTTTTCTTTATCACTCTGTCTCTCTGTCTCTCTCTCTCTCTCTCTCTCTCTCTCTCTCTCTCTCTCTCTCTCTCTCTCTCTCTCTCTCCTCTCTCTCCTCTCCTCTCTCTCTCTCTCTCTCTCTCTCTCTCTCTCTCTCCTCCCTCCCTCCCTCCCTCCCTCCCTCTCTCTCTTCTCTCTCCTCCACTCTCTCTTCTCTTCCCCTTTCTCTCTCTCTCGTTCTCCCTTTCTTCCGTTCTCTATCTCTTTTCCCATCATCCTACTTACCTCTATTTATTTTCTTACTCGGCCTGTCTCTCCCTTTCTGCTTTTATTTATTTTTTTTTTTCACTTTCTGCTGTCTATTTCTGTTTGTTTGTCTCTCCATGCCTTCTCCCATTTTTCTCTCTCTTCCCTCATTTGTTTTTCTGTATTTCCTTTCCTACTCTTTCTCTTCGTGTGTCTCTATTCGTCCCTCCTTCAACCTTCCTCTGTTTCCTTTTGATTCTTTACCTTCCTCCAACTTTAAACGAAAAGTAGATTGTCATAATATCACGTACTGTACCCAACCATCTTCTGTTGCTGTTTGGCAGAGAGCGTCTATCCATGTTTGCTTTTGGTGGATTTCTTGGCTATCAAACTGGGGGTATGTGGCCAAAGTTATTAAACTAATAGATCCTCCTTGTTTCATTCTAGATAAGGTCATATAGTTTTGTCTCCCTGAGAAAGTATGTAATAATGAAAAGAAAATAAATGTGCTAGACATCAAAGGTCATATAGCACTTCCCTGAGATAAGAGATTACTTTACAAGTGATTCTTTCATCTGCTAATATGTTTGTAATAATAAAATCTATGTTCTTGAGTCTGATATAATTTTTAGGGAATGTATTTGCTCTCTGAATTGGTGGCAAGTTGTTAAAATGTGGTTTACTGTTAAGTTGAGTGTGCAGCAGGGAGACTGTGGTGGATATCAATTTTCGATGTAGGGATTGAGGTATGTAATTCTTGTAGCAACTGAGTTAGACGAGCCAACACCACGGGGAGGGCTAGATCAGTAGCAACTCGAGGTCTCCTGGTGTCCCACAGGGTTATTTTGATGGTTGTTCACTGAATTTATGACCATTAAAATCATTATTTTCCATCCTCTTTGAAAATTAAAGAGACCCAAAATGATCGACCATATTAACAAAGCATCCGTAACTTTTGTGACGTCATTAAAATGTGCTTTTACCAAAAATAGACTCAGACGCCATGACACTTCCTCGAGTTGCTACTGATCTAGCCTTCCCCCAACACCACCGTCTATCCATACTCCATAAGGGGCCTTATAAACCACACTTGCAATGTCTCACCGGATACGCGAAGTAGTTAAAAAAAGGAATGGAACCTCTTTTACGTAGTATTACGAGGGGATCTAGTCAGATTATGTGTACGCTTATAAAAAAAATTCGCGTTTGCTTGATGTTACTAGGATAGCGTGTATTAAGGAAGAGTAGAATAATGTTGCTGTTGAATTAATTGATGGTGAAGGTGAATAATTTTACCTATGCACCTCGAAGTAGATAAATGTCCCAAATCAGGCCAATAAAAGGGTTTGTTATCCATATGTTACTGCATAGTTATCCAGTCCATGTGCACAGTATAACATTTATAAAGATCAAATTATTTTTTTCCATTTATAAACCTACCGAAAATTTCCAAGTACGACTGTGTATTACAAATATGATTGATCTCAGCCACAATACCCGTATATCCTGGGTTACCCCCTAATTTGTACTTTACACAATCAATATCTTAGATTTTTTTTTGAAAGCTGTTGATGTTCATTGTGCTTCATATACCTAAAATCATTCCTTACTCTTCATGTTCTTCAGCTTCGAAATATGCAGCGGGATTTACAAGATTTTCTTCTTTGGGATTTTTATTAGGAAAAAAAACACAAACACAATTAAAATTTAAGTTTATTTATGTGTTGTAAGGGCTTACAGAGTATATTTGTTAATATTACAGTATACAAATATTTGACAAAAAATAAGGTGTATTCACAATCTTGAGCAGGACAGAGAAATGTCCGCAAGGAAATATTTTTTTTACAATAATATTGTAGCCTATAAAGTTATACAGTTGTGAAATATACTTTGGAATGTATTTAATCCATATAAACAGTTAAACAGTAAAATTTCTTAAAAAAACCTTACTGCATCCCACAATAAACTTAACAATACATTAAAACTGTATACTTGTACAGCTCTGAACTCAGATCCCTTTCGCACCAAATCTCAAGTAGTCATTTTTTATTCTCAGCAAATACAAAATAAAAGATGAAGAAATGTTAACTAGTGCATAAATAAATAAGGATTGCCTGCACAAACCATGGTGTTTGGTAAAATGACATTACCAGTAGAAAAACGAATTTGTAATTGTCTGACAATGAATAATCTTGAGTAGTATAACAAAATCACATACACTCGCATTCACACGTGATAACTGATCCACACACCTGAGTTCGGGAAAATATAATTAACTTCACACAAGTATGTCCCTCAGAGCTGGAACTCAAGAGGAGGAGAGGCACCGACTCCTAACACTACAGTTTTAAGACTTTCTCCGTGACTCTTGTCTTCTGAAAGCATAAACCCTTTAACAGAAACTATTGTCCTAAGTCTCTCGCCTTGAGGTCCAGCTCCGGGTTACCATTATGGGGGTCAACCGCTGATGAAATGATCAGGGCACGGGGCGGGTTAGTCAGGGGCCAAGGGGGCTCCTGCAGGGCCACGTTAGCCTCCGTCTAACCCTGCTTCTTTGCTCCTAGTCTAAGGACAGGCACCGTCAGTCGAGATTCCTTGCGGTTGGTGATATGTGGAATAATGCCATTCTTTTCCAGAAGCTTTATTTTTGCCAACCGGTGGAGTCGTGTACTATACATCATTTACCGATTCTCCTTTTTTTTAACCATTTTGTAAGAGAAAAAACAAAAGGTGACCACGTCGTAAACTAATTAGAAACTAATTAACATAATAGATATATGTTTTGACACTTTAGAATATGCAACAACAATCAAAGATTTTGGTCGTCACTGTCAACTGTCTCGTCTTTATCTGTTGAGGAAATAAGAAGAAATGGACACATTACCACCAAGGAGGTGAAAGTAAGACGCTGCTTAACCCAAACCTGTTTTTGTCTATGTAAGTGTGTGTGTGTGTAGGTGTACGTGTGTTTTCGTGTGCGTGTGTTTCTTTTGCATGCTTTTCTCCTGTGTACCCATGTTATCAGAATTTCAGAATTTAGGGCAATAATTAAGTTTTTGACTACAGGAAAAAATATAATCATTTTGATTTTCATATAGAACGATATGAGCAATGTAAGAATTGAAATGTATATGAAATATTTTCTTTATAAATACAATAAAAAGACATAATTCATGCAGATTAGTACATGCAAGTGTGAGGCTACTGGGATTCTATGGAATGTGAAGGTCAGGATGCAGTATGACCAGTTACCATGCCATTACCACGAGTCTTTTAGCAGGACATATGTAGTGCTGGTTTCCCTACAACCTTTGGATATTTTGATGTTTTGACTGTCGCCCAGAAAGAGAGGGCAAGAGAGGTGAGCAATGGGTCAAGAACCGAACTAACAGAACAGTTAATTTTGTTGAATAGTAGAGTTACACATGATAGCTAATACTGACTTCGAAAGGAAGAAGAAGAGGGAGGAGAAGAAACAGAAGAAGAAAGAAAAAGAATCTTGACGGGTGACATTCAGTAACGGTAAGCTATCTTCTACTCCTCCAGATGGCGGGTATTTCTTATTACTCTCGCAACAAAGTCGGACTTTCCAAAGATAAGCATAACGGGAAAAAAGGGGTCAACCTGCTCTGTGATGCTGCTGATCTATCTAAATCTCATGCATCACTCGTACTAGCGTGCCTGTCAATAGGGTCATGTTCTCCCTCATCTAGTCAGACGGGGGTATCACACAATCATGTCCTGAATATAGTATAAACCATTATATATACAGTGTAAAACATCTGACACATGCACATCATGAATTAGCTGTTTTACAATAGGTTCATGCAGTATTTGTAAATATTGCAAGAATGTCCACGAGCCCATGCTATACATAGATGAGTATTCAAAACTGCATTTTTTTTTTCAAAAACCCAATCTTCTCACAGCGCGACAAAACCTTGCCTTGCTGGGTGATTATACTTGCATGCTAACTCTTTCTTCTATACATTGGCAGCATTATTTATTATTATTATTTTGAGTTCGTTTAAGTATCATATTGTCTCAGCCATGTCCATGCATCGTTGCTGAACATCACACAAGCTGGCTAGTGAGATCTCAGTCTTCCTCACCTTTCTTCCCTTGGTAAGCGTGTTTGCGCAGACGATCATACAGGTCTTCTTTGTTGCCGTAGATGGAAGCGTTAGAGCGAGCCAGACTATTTCCTGCACCATTCTGGAACCCAGCTGGTTTGAGGAGGGTTTGGTTAGTCAGTTAATGATAGTGACCTGATTACACAACATTTTGTCATTCTTTTCATGAAAGCATTCACTGAAGCACTTCCGTTTTCTATGAAAATAATCTATAATAGTGTTGATTCTTTACAAACGATTGACTTTTCATGATCACCAAAGTCCACACAATGAACCAAGGCCATAAATAACTCTCAAAAAGACAAACATGAGTCATTCTACAACTGATACACTTTGAAGAAGCATCAGAGACAGAAGAAGAAGAAAAAAAAGCTTAGCTAGACTACGGGAAGTCTGCCTCGGCGCAAGACCCCTTAGCGAGATCAGGACGTACTCTTCATATAGGTTTCATTGTAGAAGTTGGGCATCTCCCAGGCGTCTTCTTCGTCGTCGTAGTAGTGGGCGTAGGTGGAGTGGTGCGAGGGCGCGATGCTCTCCGCGTAGGGAGCAGGGGCGCCGTAGTAGAAATTGACCTGTGGAAGATATCGAATGGGGGCGTCAGTAAGAGGGAAGGGTTAATAAGAGGAAGATGTGGATGTCTTTTTCCCTGTGGAGTTGGGTTCTTATCAACAGCCGATCTAAATTCTACAGTGATTAAAAAGACAAAAAAAGCCCATCTTAAAATATAAACAACCAATCTAAATTCTATGACACATAAAACCAAACTACCTAAAATTATCTAATACTTAAAAAATGAAACTACATATCCAAATTCTGTAATAAAAAATTGACCTGTCCTCATCTAATCTAATACTTAAAAAAAAACGAAACAGTAGATCTAAACTTTTCCAATACCTCAAAATAAAAAAAATGAAACAGCCGATCTAGCTTCTCTAATACAAAAAAAAGACGAAACAATCAATCCCAATCCTACAAATCCAAAAAAAAAAAAAAAAAAAACGCCCCGACCTAAATTCTGCAACTTCCCAAACAACCCCCCATCACAACCCAACGCCTCTCGACGCCTCCCGACCTGCGATCCGTTGGGGTCCGTCGAGGGCTGCGCCAGGAAGCCCTTCTTCGGCTCCCTTCGCCTCGTGGCCCGAATGCAGATCATCCAGACCAACAGGACGATGAGGATGACGAACACCACGGCCCCTGCGATGCCACCGGCGATGTAGGTGAAGTCGCTCTTGAGCTGGAATGGAGGTTTAGATTAAGGAATGGGGGTTCGTATTAGGAATGAGGGTTGGATTAAGGAATACGGGTTCATATTAGGAATGAGGGTTTAAGGAATAGGGTTCATTCATTAGGAATGAGGGGATTAGGAATTCAGATTGGGAATGAAGGTCAGATTCACATATTGGGAAAGGTTCATGAAGATTCTGATTTAGGAATGGAGGTTCAGATTGGGAATGAAGGGTCAGATTCACATATTGGGAATGTAGGTTCAGAATAGGAATGAAGATTCTGATTAAGGAATCAGGAATGTTCAGATTAGGAATGAAGGTTCATTTTGGGAATGAAGTTTCTCATTCAGGAATGATGGTTCTGCCGTATTGCTAGTATTAAAATGGATGCATGAAGAGTATATCAACCATATTTTCCCCCTTCGTTTCTCGTTAATTTTCCTCATACTTACATGGCATCTGCTGCCAGTGAAGGAACCAGAGCACACGCAGTAGGGTTCTCCGTCCTCGTTCTTCTTGCACAAGCCATTGTTCTCGCAGAAATTGTCACAGTTATCTGAAGAAGGAAAGGCGCCGTTAGTAAGGAACTGCTGCAGATATAGAGTATATATATATGCGAGTAATTGCAAACAAATCGTTTGTTTAAAGATGTATTGACAAAACTAAAATTCCTGGAAAAGGTGTGATTGCTCACCGACGCAGTATTCGCCGGTTCCGTTGTATCCGGGTTTGCAGCGGCACTCGAAGTCGCTGGTCTCCGAGATGAAGAGGCAGAGCGCGTTGGAATCGCACAGCATCTGTTCTCCGTGAACCTCGCACGGGTTGGAACATTCCTCCTCCGAAGTGGCGCCAACGTCACGGGTCGAGGTGTCTTGCGGGCAGCTCAGGCAGACTGTCTGGAGGGCCTCGGGCTGGTAGTAACCCTTGGGGCACGGCAGGCACTCGGAGTTCGACAGGAAGGTGCCGGCGATGCAGATAGGGAGAGAACACTCTTCCAGGGACGAGGCGCCGGGTCCTTGGGTCGTGCGGTCGGCGGGGCAGCGGATGCACGACGAGTGAATGCCCTTGGTACGGTAGGTGCCTCGCGGGCACGGCTCGCACGGGCCGGTGGTTCCCAGCTGGAGACCAGACTCGCACTCCTCGCGGCACTCGGAGGCGGAGACGGCTTCCTTGGTGCGCGTGGTGAGGCCGCGGTCGCACCTCTTGCAGGAGAACTTGCCCTCATCAGGCTGGAAGTATCCGTAGCCACAAGAGCGGCAGACGCTCATCTGCTCGTCGAAGTACCTTCCAGCAGCACAGCGCTCCTGGCAGTCCTCGGCAGAACGGGAGCCGGGGATCTTGGTCACGCCTTGGCGACCTGCTCGCTGGGGACAGGCCTTGCAGGCGACCTGGCCCATCTCGTTCTGGTAGGTTCCCAGCTCGCAAAGCTCGCATGTTTTGCTCTCGGTACTGTAATATGTGCCAGGGGCGCAGTCCACGCATTCGCTGCCAACTACAACCTGTGGGTTACAAATAGTTGATGAGTGCAAAAAGAACTGCTAAAGTTAATACACTTGAACAACAGAAACACACAAATTAACTACATCCATATACAAAAAGCTACACATCACAAAGCCTAGCCGAGGAGAACCTCCTCCGGCGCGTACACACCTTGCCCACGGGACAGGAGTACTCGGAGTTCAGCTCGAGCGAGGACGGGTCGGGGACCACATTGGGCAGGGCGTCGCGGACGTCGAACTCGTCCTTCTCCAGAATGATGCCTTCGATGAGACGCCTGACGGTGGACTCGAGCTCGGCGTTGGAGTGCTGGACGGGGTCGCTGTTCGGGAGAGGGGAAGGGATGAGCAACGTGTGGAAATCGAGGCGAGAAATAAATACGAGAGTTTCTCTTTAGTCTCCCCTCTTATTTCTTTTTTTAAATGTTGGTTAAAGATATTTATGATGGCTTTACCTCTGAGACTGATATTGTAATTATTTAAAATGGGGTATATGCATATCCTGAGTTAGATCCATATTTTAAAAGTCAAATTTATCTGCCTAAATTACATGTAAATTTCTTCTTATATTAATATCAACTGATTAGGTACTTATATACATGTTCTAATTAATACAACATACATCTATGCGATTTACAGTAACTACAACGACGTTATAGACAAACACATCCATTCATGCAGACACGCACGTACACGCACATGTACACACACATGCACGTCACACACACACACACACACACACACACACACACACACACACACACACACACAACACACACACACACACACACACACACACACACACACACACACACACACACACACACACACACACAGGCATTCACATCCATTCATCTCTGCAAATTCACGCATATATTTATAATTTCCAATACCAAAGTAATTCCGAAGACAGTAAGTCACTTTAGTAAACAGTTCAATTCCAGTTCCTGTGCAACCTGACTGCTGTATTCTAGCCACACAAACACAATCAATAAGCTCTCCAGTACAGTGTAAGCTTAACCATTAACCACCTGCAAAGCTCTTTTATAGCCTACGGTTGTGTGGTTAAAACGGCCTGGTATTTTCTATTGATATCTTGTTCTAAGGCCATTTCAACCCTTTTTTTTTGTCCGCAAACCCTTCTGAAACCCACAGACGAAAACACACAAAAGCAAAAGCATTGGAGAACAGCAGAAAAAGAAGCTCAAAGATAATAAAGTTATAAATACAAGACCCACAACATCAGGGGGGCGAAAGTTATTATTAGGTCTCTATTCTCAGCAAAAACATCTTTTTTTATTAGGATTTTAGAAGCATTATCGAGGCGAGACGAGACAAGGAGGAGGAGGAAGAGGAGGTGGAGGAGGACTTCCAAACAATTCGCCGTGTTCAGTCTTACTTCTTGGCAGCAAAAGAGACCTTCAGATTATACTGGTATGCCTGATCTGTCTCCCTTCGGCTCCTGCTGGCACTCAGACCGTCACTTCAGGAGGCCAGAGGGGAAGGGGGAGGGGAGAAGTATTCGTGGGAGGGGGAGGGAGGGGGAAAGTCATTACATTCAGAAAACCTCAATGTCAGAGTTTCAGGTGGCTTTGCTAACCTCTACATACATTCCTAAATCTTCTGGTGGAAATTCTTCGATCTGTATTGCTTTCTAAATAGCATGATATGTCATATGTTGTATATTTGATGCACTACAAAAGGAATATGCAAACTATATCTCTGTTAACATCACTAGTACCTAAAACTAAGCTGTCGTTAACCTGAAAAGGTATAGGGACCCGAACTTATGTCAGACAATAGTTTTAAATGTTGTTCTCTAAAAATATTCATGACCTGCTTAGCAAAAGAATGATCACGAAAAAAAAATCATGTTGTCCACACTGAGAAATCATAATCTTGAATAATCTAATCTAATAAGAAAACTACCTCAATACCACTGTGAACTAAATTCTTCCTAAAACATACGAATGAACACAGAAACTAAACTGCACTTATCTCGTCTATGGCACAAGTGACGACGTATCGCCACAGCAAAAAACAAAAAAAAAAAACAAAAACAAAAGCACAAGGCAAAAAATACTCACTTGACAGATGGGAAGGTGATCTTGACGTCATAAACATCGTCAGAGTCAGGGGTGGCCTGCCTCTTCGCCCTGACGTCGACGGCCTCGCGAGCCAGCCTGCTTCTTCTAGAGCAGTCGACAGCCACGTCAAGGCCGTTGCAGATGCCAGTGGATGTTGCAGTGTCAGTGCAGAAGTTCCAGTTGGCATTGAGCTTGTTCAGTGCCTTTAGAAAGAAGAGAAATGCGTTTATTGTATTTCCAATGACAATTGTACGTACGTGTGAGAATGGACCATTGCCCGTTAAGGATACAACAGAGTAAGATTGCAAATGAAATATATTAAATGAAATATATCATAAGTTGCATCATTCTCTAACAACTTACGAGACGAATCTTCTCGCTGAGCACATTCTGGCCGGCGGCATTGCAGATGACTGAGGACGGGAACTGCATGTTGATCTTGAACACTCTCTGGGCAGGGGTGGCTGGGGCACAGGCAGGGTATACGAGGGGGAAGGTCGGGTCTGGCGTCGGCCTCCAGAAGCCCTCGGCACCGCAGGTGTAGAAGTCGGGGACCTGTAAGGGTGTTGGGAAGGTCATTAATCCCATAATCTTTGAAATGAAGTCAAAAGTCCCGAATTATTCATGTCTCAAGCAAAACAAATAGCAATACTGATCATGTCTTTCTAAAATATAAGTAATATCTCTCAAACACGAAGTTCGCAAACCATCACGAGTAAACTTACCTCCTGCGAGAATTTGAGGCCATCATTGCACTCGATCTTGCACACCTGGAATCGGCCACCGGGACCCCAGTCGGCACAGCGCTGAATGCCGCCCACAGGGTCGTCCAACTTGGGGCAGAAGTCTTCGAGGACGTAGATGTTGAAAGCACAGGTTGCGGAGTTACCAGCGGCATCGTAGGCCACTCTTGCAATGTCGTAGGTTCCCCATGTGAAGGCCTATATTCAAAATGATTGAAATTATTATACAGTGCAATATGGAAAGTGAAATTCATCAACGAAATAGATAAATCCATTCATGTATATGTCACAAAACCGCAAGAAGTCGACTCACCTGACCAGAAGAATAGCCGGACTTGTCAACTATCTGTGTAACACCAATGTTGTCGGAAAAGACGGGTTCATCCCAGGTCACGACCTCTGACCCGTTGCGAGTGATGACCCACATGTCTCCGGGGCAGTGGTTCACGCGAGGTGGGGTCTTGTCCCTCTCCAGCACGGAGCAGTCCCCAGTGTAGCCCGGAGGACACACGTACTGGCCGCAGGTTGAAGGGCCGACGCGCTCAACGTTCCCTTTGACGCTGTCGTAGCCGGTCCATCTCAGGAGGAGGCCGTCGAAGATCACGGGCGAGTTCATGCAGGAGCGGACCTGTTCGTTTCAGAAATGTTTATTTATGTTCTTCTGATAAAGAAAAAAACTGCAGTATATCACACGCCATTACATATCCGTTTATCCTTCGTACAGATCCTGAATGAGTCTCGGATTTTACGGAAATAAAACTCACCATTTTGGGAATCTCTGTACGGAAGTCCAAGGCGCGATTCCAGGCATTCAGACGAGCGATGCGTCCATGGAATCCACGCTCGTTCGTGTATCCTGCGAACTCTGACTCTACGGATCCGAGCGTCACCCAAGCACTGGAGGGGAAAAAAAAAGAAAAAATAGGGAATTAGTTACACACACAGTTTTTTCCTACTATTTCGTATACTCGAAAATATTCATTAATCTTTTAGCCAAGAAACCAGCAAACCCTTTTTGTTACTTACTACATCGGCAGCATGCGGTCTTGTCCGAATCCTTCCACCTGTGCCACGACGACGGCATCGGTGGTGAGGGTCAGAGTGCCTTCAGCGCCGTCCCACACCAGGGCGACATGGTGCCACTGGCCATCATTAACGGGAATGTTGGAGCGGTACGTCACAAATTCCTTTACGTCCTCAAAGAATTCAACTGCGATTCCGGCATTCGTGGCCTGGAGCAGTACCTTCTTATCTGTTGGCATGTATGGGCTCCTGCAAGAAGTAAGGCATACAAAATGTTAAGAAAATTATCTGATATCATTCTAGCTGTTGAAAAAAAACTATTTTATTTAAGACTCCTACGAAAATGATTTCTTCTGTTTATTAACTGGCAGTTTTGTTATGAATAGTTAGAAGCAACTGAGAAAACCATACTGTTTATCCAGCACAAATAACACTTTCAGAAAACACAGAATATTACATTTCCAACTGCACTTACGAGACGGAATAAAGAGTGAAGAATGTTCCAAGGTCGTCAGAGGTAGCGAACTGCACCCACATGGCCACCGTGAACGACGGCGCCATGCCCAGATGGAAGGGCGTGGCCAGGGAGGCGCTCGAGGCCTTGCTCTCGTCGTTGATGTAAAGTTCGTAGTCGACGTTGATGACTGAAAGAAAATATAGCCATCATTAGTAAGCTATCTATGTACATCTACAATATTTTCCATGTAATATTATCATATGGATTACAAATTGTTTAGTATGATTTACTAATAAAAATCTTACCTTTCCTGCAGTCCTCGCCAGTGAGGTTGAAGGGGCACTTGCAATAGAAGTCATTTGTAAGATCGATGCAGGTAGCGCCAGGGGGGCAGGAGGTTGACGTGCAGTCAGCGATGTCCTGGTCACAGTGTCTACCTGTGAAGCCTGGTGGGCACACACACTGGTAGCCTGCACCTCGGTCGATGCATGTAGCACCATTCTCGCAGAGCTGAGCCTCACAAGCATCGAATTCAAACTGGCAACCAATTCCAGTGAAGTCCTCGGAGCAAGTACAGTTGAGGCCTGAACCGTAGTCTTGGCATGAAGCACCATTCATGCAGGGGTTGCCTACACAGCGCTCTGGGGTCACCTGACACCGTTTGCCGTCCGTGCCTGATGGGCACACGCAGAAGTAATCCTCAAAGAGATTGATGCACTGAGCATCGTTCAGACAAGGTGCCGACTCGCAGCCGCCGATGTCCAGTTCGCAGCGCTTGCCAGTCCATCCCGGTTGACAGGTGCATGTGAAGTCTGCAACTCCATCTGTGCACACAGCTCCGTTATGGCAAGGATCTGGTTCGCATTCATTGATGTTGACTTCACAGAACTCGCCTTCATATCCTACATGACACTTGCACTTGAACATGTTATCTAAATCAAGACACTTTTCTGTGCCAACTGGATTGCAAGGACTGCTTATGCATTCATCAATAGAAGCTTCACACTGGAGTCCTACAAAGCCAGGTCTGCATTCGCATGAGAAGCCATCCAGTTCATCGACGCAGGTACCACCGTTCTGGCAAGGTTCTGATGCACAGTCATCAATTGTATGTTGACAGACTTTGCCAGTATATCCGGTGTCACAAGCACATTGATACCCATTGACTCTATCCACACACTGACCACCATTCTGGCAGGGTTCAGATGCACACTCATCAATGTCGACCTCACAGCTCTCACCAGTCCAGCCAGGGTGGCACACACATGAGTGAGAGAAGAAATTATCCACACAAACACCATTCATGCAAGGAGAGTTCTGGCAAAGATCAACCTTCACATGGCAGCGTTTGCCAGTAAATCCACTGGGACAGTCACACTGGAAGTCATTGAGCAGATCTGTGCAATTTGCTCCAAGCAGGCAAGGATCTTCAGCACAATCGTCGATGTTCACTTCGCAGAGACGGCCCTCCCAGCCAGCCTGACATTCACATCGGAATCTTCCTTGGTCTAGAGGTACACATGTTGCTTGATTGGCGCATGGGTTGCCCTTTTCTGTGCATGGGTTAACAGTAATGTTACATCCTACCCCAGTGTAACCAGAGCGGCAAAGACACTCAAAGGTACCAAAGCCTGGGTCATCTTTGCACATTGCGCGGTCTGGACAGGTGCCTTCTACACATTCGCTCACTTCGTCTTGGCACTGTAAGCCACTGTAGCCTTCAGAGCAGTCGCATCTGTATCCCTGAGGAAGGTCCACGCAACTGCCACCATTGTAACAAGGCCTAGAAGCGCATTCGTCGACATCAACTTCGCAGAACTGTCCAGTAAAGCCTGCAGGACAATAGCACTGTACCTGATGTTGGCGAGCCAAGCATAATCCACCATTCTGACAAACTCCTGAACAAGCAACAGATAAGCACATCTCACTTGATGTAGCACCCTCATCATCAGTGTAATTTCCTGTAGAGCATTCAAAGCAACTTGTGCTGCCAATTGAAGGCTGATAGAAGTTTCGTGGACAAGGTGCGCAAGGTTCCAGCCCTGTGTCCGAGTAAGTTCCAGGTCGGCATTTCTGGCGACACATCTGTTGTGAAGCAGTAGAGGGAGCATGAGTGAAGGTTTCTGGTGGACAAGCCTGACACTCCTTGAAGCCATCTTCGGGAGGTGCTTCTGTGTAAGAGTTGCGTGGGCAGTTGAGGCAAGGAACAAGACCAGTTGGTGAGTAAGTTCCAAATCCACATACAGGTACACATTCGATGCTTGACTTAGTGCCATTGGTTCTAGTGTAAGTTCCTGGGGGACAGCGCTTGCAAGAACCTTGGCGACTCTGGTCTTGGTAGAACCCAGCCACGCAAGGTGTACACATTGTCTCTTCCCTTCTGGCAAAGGTTCCAGCAGGACAGTGTAGGCATCTTGGCACTTCTGATGTCTCAGTATTGAGGACTTCACCAACATTGCAAGTAAAGCCTCGTGAAACATTAGACCTTTGTGCTTGCATTGGTGGGCAGGCATTACCTGCAGATGACAAGTCAAGGATTGGCTCAATTACAGCAGATGTTGAAGGTACACTAAGGTCAAAGATGAGAGACAGAGTGGAGCCACAGAGGTCGTAGAGAAGTTTCTGCTTAACCTCAGGTGTGATACGCAGTACATAGGAGACATGAACCATATTTTCTTGTACCAACTTCAGTCTTGTTTCATGGAACATGACATCGATAGCAACATTAACTGCAGCTGAGCAGCGGCTAGATAAGACACCATTGAGGCTCTCATAAAACTGCTGCACAAGACTTTCATACTGAGGGAGACATGTTGGTAGCACAGCTCCATTTGCTCGGTACATAACATCTGCTACAACATCATAGCTAGCTTGTTCTGTATTTTCACTCACACAGTCTGGCACCATGCGGCTTGGTTGCCACAAGTTCTCCTCTGTGCAGGTGAAAGTTTTCACTGCCATGTTGTCAGTAAATCTGAATCCTGTATCACAAGTTGCCAAACACTGCACACCTTCGCCCTGGTCTGGAAGGCAGTTCAGCTTGCCGTTGGCTGGAGCCTTCAGTTCCCAATCTACACAAGCAGTGGCTTGTACAGCTACCTGGAAGTTGCAAGAAGCACTATTTCCTGAGGGATCAGTGGCAACTACAGTCACATTCTCATAGCCACCAACACGGATCAGCGCAACTTCTGGCATTACCTTCAGGGTGAATTCCCCGCTGTTATCACTTGCATTTACACTAGACAATGTTAGAGAGGAATTGAAGTTGACTCTGTAGTTCTCTTGTTCCTCGACCAATTCAATAACGTAGCTCTGGGGGCAGGTGATTGATGGAGGAATGTCATCTGGGACAGTGATATTGATCTGACAGATGGCAACATTTCCATCGAAATCAAATGCTAAATACTCCACCATTGTGTCCTTGAAGATGTGGATTGGAGGACGGAAACCTGGTGGTCTCACTTCTGTCCTGGCAATCATACCAGAGTTGTCATATGCGGTAGGTACTGTGAAATTGACACTTTGGACTCCATTTGGACCTTTCTGTACCACAATGGGGTTGACTGGACAATTGGCAAACTGAGGTGGCTCGTTGTCAACACACACAGGGTAACCCATATCATAACCAAGGAGGCGGTTTTCAGCAGGCTCGTCTTCGCATCCCATAAGCTCAAACTTAAGGCAGGGGTTCTTGTCATAGCTCACAATGCCAAGGATGACAAAGCGAGCAGTAACAACTGTTGGCAAAGTGATCATTGCCAATTCTCCATAGTTTCCAGGGTCTCTTGCAGTAAGGTTGAAATTGGGGAAATATACAATGTAATCGTCTCCCTCTTGCTTCTTGTAGAAGAATCGGATTTCAGTTGGTCGTCCAACAACATCATTGGTGATAACGCCCTTGACCAAAACAGCCTTAATTCGGTGCACTTTACCCAAATCTACTGTCACATATGTGAAAGCCTCTTGCTGTCCGCACCAACCAGTGGCAGAGTTGAGTCGGATGTTGCGAGCCTCGTAGTTGCCTCTTTCTGAGGTAGCATTAATTGCAGAGGCTGGAATCTTGCCAGATGTTATGCCAATGGGAGCAACAACACGGCATTCTGGTTCTCTAACGCAGCGGATGGGCTCATCAGTGATAGGGATGTATCCTGGTCGAGTGCAGTCAAAGCTAACACGAGATCCTTGCTCATAGCTTGTGGCAATTTGAATACCTTCAGGTGGGTGTCCTGGGTCAGAACATACAGGGCCTTCACACCTCAGGTCACCGAAATCCCAGTTGGAATCAGACAGACAGCGTACAGCATTGTCAAATCTGCTAGTTTGGCCAGCAAGGCTGAAAGTTTCTTCACAGCCAAAGAAGAAATTGGTTTCGTAAAGAGTATCCTTGAAGAATCCATATGTGGCACCAGGAGTCTCAGCAGGCAAACCACAGCTGACACGGGGGCACTGAGGAGCAATACCAGAGAGCCAGTACTCAGGGAGGCCAGGCTGGGGGTCATACACGCACTCACGGAAGCCAGATGTCAATGTCTTCCGTAGTGGTCTTCCTGGAACATTACAACTGACTGTCACATTTGACATGAAGGGGACTACTGGTTCATCAGGAGATGCATAATTAATTGTCAGGCCTTGAGCTGGATCATCTTGCAGTGGTGTACATGATGCATAACGGCATTCTGGTAATGTGCCATTCCATACTCCGTTGCTGGTGCATGTCAGGGTGTCAGATCCAATCATAACATAACCGAAATTACAATGGAATTTAACAAGATCGCCGTAGTGATACATGCTTCGAGTGTCGAGTAACTTTCCATTTTCTGGCGACTCAAGAGCAGGGCACATTTTGCGAACACAGGTCTTGTTGAGGCGGTAGGTGTCACCATCCCTCAATCCGCTTTCAGATCTCTCAATAACGTATCCAGCGGTTCCGTTTTCTGTGAACAGATCATATCCAACATTGCAGAGACAAGAGAAAGAACCTGCAGAATTAATGCACCTCTGGTCACATCCTCCATTGTTGTCCTCGCACTCATTGATATCAGTACAGTCTTGGCGGGCGCAACCCATCAGCTCAAACTTGAGGCAAGGAGCTTGTTCATAATCAGCTAAGGTAAGGCGGATGTAGCGGGCCTCCACAGGAGTTGGCAGATTCACCACCGACAAAGAAGCTCCTGATGTGATCCTGAACTCGACTGGTGATCCATCATTGTTTGTATACTCCCTGAATACATCTGTTAGGTCATCGGTATATTGGAGACGAATTGATTTGGCAAAGGCAAGCTGGCCATCAGTGAGTCCAACAGGCTGTGTTCGGAAGCCGATGATAACAGTGGGAACTCTAAGGTCAACCATAACCCAGTTGCGGCCTGGGACGGGCACAGCACCACACCATCCTGGCTGCGAGTTCAAGCGAACGCTCTGTAAGAAGAAAACCATTTCATTAGTTTTATTAGAAATAACAAACATTACTTAACATGGCACTAAGCATATATCTCTGGTTGTGCATATGCATAAAACTTACATTAAAGAATTATATCACTTACATTCTTTTCATAACCTGCAGCAGTAGTAGACACGCTAATGGCATCGTCGGGGATTCCACCATCAGACAAGCCCAAGTCGCCTCTCGGACGGCAATTAAGGTTGGGTCGGAAGCCTGCCTTGCACATGCATGAAAATGCTCCAGGAGTATTCTTGCACTCAGTTGAAGCTGCATCACACTGGGCCGCTTCGCACTCATTAATATCTAGAAAAAACAGGAGGAAAAGTCATTTAATTTGCTAATCTAATCATCTAGCTCTGAGTAAATTTCAACACAATACACAAAAGAAAATAAATACACAGAAGAAATATGATAACAAACCTTCACAAGTTGGGAGGTTGACGAAGTTCTGCTCAGGTCCGCACTTGACGATGGGGGAACCGATCAGCTTGTATCCACGGTGGCACTGGACTCGGGCCTCATCCCCGTAGTAGTAGTTGCGAGTCACATCCGCAATAAACCCATTTTCAATCTAGGGATTAAATACAATTGTTACATAAACTCACTTTGATTTATTTGATACACTATCATGCAGTATCACTCTGGCAAAATAATATCTCAATGTGAATAGAAAAAAATGTTAATTTAAGACACGCCAAATGTAATGCCCTTTAACTGCAGAACACACCATTACAAGCATAAAACCTCATTTAAACTGAACAGAGGTAACTGCCTGATGCGTTTTTCCCTTCTTCCCTTTCCCTATTAACAACAAACAAGAGAATCTTACCTCAGGATACTCGTGGCACTGAATCCTAGAGCATGTGGGGACATCGCCAGACCAAGAGCCATTGGACATGCAGTGAATGACGGGCAATCCAGTGCGGTAGTAGCCAGGCTCACACTCGAACCTCACAACGGTACCATAGCTTCGTCCGCCACCGTTGAGAACCTCTTGGCTGGCGAAAGGAGTCTCAGGAAGGGCAGGGCACTGTGATGCTGGAATTGGGCATGATGGCATTAATAAAAAATAATACTAAATCTTGCTTTGTTGTCTTATTTGCTTGACATAACTTTCCTGGCAAAGAGGACAAAAATAAAGTTATCATTTCATAATTAATATCTTAAAACTCACCAAGACACTCTGGTAGTTTCTCCCACACTCCAAGTTCTGTGCACTTGACTGTCTCCACGGGCTTTCCACTCGGGAATCCAAAGCCAGCATAACACTGGTAAGTTGCCTGTCCGCGGTAAGTCACATTCGTGGCACCGATGCTGAATCCATTGTCAATTTGGGGCACGGGGCCACAATACACAACTGTAGAGTATGATCATCCATATATTAGCCATAGAAAGAGAGAAAAAAAACTACATGAACCTAGATTTCCTTTATACATTGCGCAAAATAAATTAAAAGAATAATAAGCATTTCAAATTGGATGTCTAGGTCTTTACTTTTACATTTGCATATCCAAATCCTGATGAGGAATGTGAGAGATATGAGAATAATTAAAAATACATAACCGCACATAAATTCATACATTATACTTTACCAAACAGCATGATTTCCTATAGGCATTATTTACCTTGGCAGTTGGGGATGTAGTCCTCTGACCAAAAGCCTCCTGGCATACATTTTGTGACGATGGAGGTCTTGTTGTTGGCAAATTCCTGACCAACAGGGCAAGTGTAAGTAACAACGCTGTCGAAGGAGGTGTCTGTCAGGGACGCAATGGCACCCTCTCCAGCGTTCAACTTGGGGCAGTCTGGATTGTGGAAGAAAAAAATTAAGAGTCATTTTAACATATGAAAGAAGAGCCTTCCATATTCAAAACCCTTCTTGTATATCTGTAAACTTTCATGATTAGGCAGCCATTAAAACTACTTCGGATGCGTACCAGCAGAGAAGTTGGCGGACCATCCAGCGGCAGGTCTCAAAGGATCGGAGTTGAACATGAGGAACATGGCTCCTGAATCGGCCGTGAGAGTGAACGAAGGAGGGTTCTTAGCTGAGAAGCCGTTTCCGGAATGGAGTCGGAATCCCTGGGAGGATGTCATTCCGTCGTAGACCTGGATGGCGTCCTTCTCCTCCACGTCGAAAGCGTTGAACTGGAAGGAGAAAGGCGGTGAAATTCTGGTAGACGATGCGTTGCTAGAATGCAAATATCGAAATGCTTTTCCTCAAGGATTAAAAGACTGGATTATGATTAAGCTTTAAATTGATACTGAGTAAATACAATTAACAAACATGCATACCTTCATCATACTTAATCAAACTTAGGATGTTGGCAAAGTTAAGTGAATTATCATAATCAATAATCCCCCTTATCCTTTATCACAATCAATCAAACTTTTGATACGTGCACACTGGGTAAGCCTATACAAAATAGACAATTAATCTCCCCTCTATCAATGCCAGCTAAATCATACATGTGAGCAAACTGAATAACTCGAGTTCACAGGCTTACCTTAAGTGACAGAGAGCCTCCGCCAGGACGCTTGATGAGATAACTACACTCCTGGTTGGTCGGGTAGTCGCTGATGCCGAAAGCTGGGGAGGTGATCGTCCCCTTTGATGCCTCGATTGTCACTGAGCAGCCGGAGGAATACCTAAAGAAACAAAGGAAAAGTCCCAAACGTTAGCTCAGCCACGGAGAGGACTATACTGAAAACAAACTACATCAATAACCCCTGATATTAGACAAATCTATCCAAAGCGTTTGGGAATCGCGAAGCCAAGTCACCTTATTCTGAAGCCTCTGCGAGACACCCCGAGGTTGGTTTGGAAGTAGAAGTAGATGAAGGGCCCCGTGGAGATGATGAACTTGGGGTTCTCGTCCTGGGAGCCGGTGAGGCGGGCCAGCATCGCGTCGGAGGGCGTGCTTCCGTCGCGGATCAGGATGAAGTCGTTTTCTGAAAGAATAATGAAGAAATAATGTCTTTATGAAAAGAAAACAACGGTCCTCTGAGATACAATCGTGACATAAACCTCGATCGTTTTATTTTTTCAAACGTCAGTAAAGGAATAGAAATGACAAATGCATCATTTTCTATATTTACTATTTTCTTCTATGTTCCCCCTTACCATCTTCGAGGTCCAAGTCCAGAATCTCGAGCGTGATGACGCGACCTTGCTGAGTCTTGAGGATGTACAGGCACTCGAGGCCGCCGGGATACTCAAGGGGATAGTTGTAGGAGGTCATGACCTGTTCCTGGGGCGTCGCAATCAACTCGCCGCCGCAATCTTGGGGCTCGGTCTTCCACGATGCCCTGAAAGGAAAAAAAAATGTTCGTAAAGTGAAAATCGATCCGAGATTTTCAACAGGGCGATATAATCATGAACTAATATCGTTAAGTTGGTGAAAAAAGGTAAAAAAAAGGTCAAGCTTATACTCCGGCGCGGCCAAACCCACCTGAACCCTCTCTTCTCCACCGAGGCGTCGGTCTTGAACTTGACGATCATGAAGTTGGAGGCCGAAATGAACAGCTTGTTGGTGAGGTCCTGCCTGCCGGAGAGCGTGGTGAGCGAGGCCGCGGAGTCCTCGGTCCGGCCGCCGCTCAGGATCTGCACGGTGTCGAAGTTCCTCTCCGTGTCGAACTCCGAGAACTGCAGGATGACGTTGTGGCCGATGGGGCCCTCCAGCGTCCACTTGCAGTCCAGGTTCGGCCCGTACTTCTTCGGGTACTCGGGGCTCTCGATGGACTCGCCGGAGGACTGCGTGTAGAAGTTGCACTGGTTGGGGCAGTCCATCTCGTCGCTCATGTCGCCGCAGTCGTTCTGGCCGTCGCACTGGAACGCCTGCGAGGGGGAGAAAACACGCCACTCAGTCACACCTTAAACAACGAGGGGAAAGAAGGCCCTGGCAGAGCTCGCGTCAAAAAACAAAGATAATAAGTAAATCAAACCTTAAGTCCTTCAACCAAACATCAAAAAATATCCAAAAAATAATGACAACAAGAGTAAATCAAACTTTAAATCCATCAACCAAACATAAAAAAAATATCCAAAAATAATGACAAGAGTAAAATAAACCTCAAATCCTTAAACCAAGCATAAAAACACAAAAAAAAACTTCCATCACGCCTATAGTAGCCAGGCAGAACACCGCCCTCACCTTGTTGATGCACCTCCCGTTGGAGCAGTGGACGGCGCCCTTGGTGCAGGCCTCCACGCGGCACATGAAGGGCAGGAGCGTCTCGCAGGTGCTGAGTTCCCATGACTGGTGCGTGTCGGTCAGCCTGCCTCGGACGCACTCGCCTTCGGTTACCTTGGGCTGACCCTGCGCCCAGAATCCTGCAAGGATGAAGGTGTTTTTTTTTTTTTTTTATTCACGTAAAGAAGCAAGAAAAAAGGGGTTTCAGGTAAAGCAAGACTTTTTTATATTCACGCAAGGAAGCAAGATTTTTTTTTCACGTAAAGGAACAAGATTTTTTTTTTCATTCCCCGTAAGGAAGCAAGATTTTTCCCGCGTAAAGAAGCAAGATCTTTTGCATTCAAGTAAAGCAAGTTCTTTCATTGCCGTAAAGAAGAAAGTCTGAAATGAATTCTGTCCACAAAGAAGCAGAATAACACAGAATAATAATCGCAAAGAGACTAATAAAACGAGAAGGAGAAAGAAAATATCAAGAGCATGCAAGTCATCCACTTATCCCTTGATCCATCAATCTACGAAGATAGAAAAGCCGAAGCATCATTAAAAAAACCCCACTCCCCTTCACTCTACAAAAAACACAAAACGATCCCCCCCCCCCCCGAAGATAAACAACCAAAACACCAAAAAAACAAACATTACCAACCTTCCCCCACGAAGACTAAAACCCCCAACTCACCTGAATAGAGGGACACGTGCTGGCCTCCCGCCGATTCGAGGGTGTTGGTGGAGAGGTCGTTGAGGGAGACCAAGCCGAGCCAGTAGCTGTTGGTGGGGTGGTCGAGCGTCTGGTGCGCCAGGTGCTCCGTGAAGTTGTTCTGCTCGTAGCTCTCCACCAGCACCAGGTCCGAGCCGAATCTGAGGAGAGAAAAAGGGAAGTTATTTCGGTGTTTGTGGATATCTGAGGACGAGAATGAGACGAATCTGAGGAGAGAAAAGGGGAAGTTATTTCGGTGTTTGTGGATATTTGAGGACGAGAATGAGACGAATCTGAGGAGAGAAAAAGGAAGTTATTTCGGTGTTTGTGGATATTTGAGGACGAGAATGAGAAGAATAAGAGAGAGAAAAAAGGAAATTATTTTGGTGTTTGTGGATATTTGAGGACGAGAATGAGACGAATCTGAGAAAGAGGAGAAAAAATAAAATTTAAAAAGTGATGGTTTTATATCATTCCAAATTTGACGGAACAAAAAAAAAGTTAATTATTATCCCATACGAACATTCACGAAGGACGAAAAACGACATCATGTCCTTAGCTCACAGAAGTAAAAAATGAATAGATGAATAGATAGACAGATAATGAATAAAATAAAATAAAAATAAAAAAATTAAAAATCAACTTAGAAAAAATACGTTTGCGTCGCGTTGCCTGTGGAGGCCGGGCAGCGAGGGACAGGGTGTGTGTGAGGGGGTGTGTGTGGGGGGGGGGGGCGATATCGATGGCGTGCAACCCATGTTAAAACTGTTTATGCTAATCCCGGCGGTCGTCAACCCTCGATCGGCGCACATCATTCCTACAGGGACATTTTCGGGCTTTATGCTGAGTGGACGTCGACCCTGATCATACTGAAGGCAGAATATCGTCTTTTCTTATTACTGAATCCTCCTCCATTAATACTGAAGCCAGAATATCGTCACTAATACTAACAGCAGCATTCCTCCTCCATTAATACTGAAGCCAGATCATATCAATACTGAAGCCAGAATATCTCACTAATACAAATCATACCCTCCTCCATTAATACTGAAGCCCAGAATATCCTCACTAATACTAACAGCAGCATATCTTCTCTTCAATAACCTTCAATTCCTCATACGGGACGGCGAGTGTAGAGTGAGGATACGGCAGTGAGGGAAGCAGGTCTTTTTAGCCACAGGGCGAAGGACTAGGAGAGGTGAGGGAGTCGTCACTGAATACGAAACAATCATCATATCCTACCTCCTTATTTAATACTGAAGACCAGAAGGATCATCATCAATACTAAGAAGCCAGACTATCGTCACTAATAACGACAATTTATCATTATCCTCCTCCAATTCTTATTAATACTGAAAGCCAAGTATCATCATAACAATACTAAGCCGCAATATCGTCACAATACGACGAATATCATATCCTCCTCCTATTATTAATACTTGAAGCCAGAGGATTCATTCATAATACTAAGCCAGTAAATCTCAAACTAAACGACCAATATCATATCCTCCTCCTTTGTATTTAATTACTGAACAGAGGAATCATCATTAATACTGAACACAGAATATCGCCACAAATACAACAGCAGCAATTCTTCTCTCAAGAACCAATTCAATTCACTCATTACGGGAGAAGACGGACGATGTAAGCTGAGGGAAACCTGGCATGTGAGTGTGAAGCAGTCTTTGTAGCCACAGGGGAAGAAGGACTATGGAGACGGTGAGGGACGTCCAGGATGTGAGGGAGTCCAGGAGTGAGAGTCCAGGAGTGAGGGAGTCCAGTGAGGAGGGAGTCCAGAGTTGAGGGAGTCCAGGGGTTGGAGGGAGAGTCCAGGGCTGAGGAGTTCCAAGGAGTTGAGGGAGTCCTGGGCTTTGTGAAATCCTTGTGATCCTCCCATTTTTCTCTCCCTCGCCTCTCCTTCCTACCTCGACTCAGTCTCCTCTCTGATCTGTCTTTTCTTTCTTTCCATTGTCTGTTCTCTCGTCCTCTCTCTCTCTCTCCCACTCCTCTTTCTCCCTCTCCTCTCTACTCTCTAATCTGCATGTTTGGTCTATCTGCTGTCTCCATTCACGGCATTCTCGACTTTCTCTTACTTGAACTGATCATTTGAATGAGGCAACGCTTAACACAAAGAAAAATGGACGCAACAATTTTTTAAACAAAAGATTTCCTTCAGGACATAAACCCAGCCTTACAAAGAAAAGGAAGAGGAGAGAAGATCAGAGAGAGAGAGAGATGGAGAGAGAGAGAGAGAGAGACATGGAGAGGGATGAGAGAGAGAGAGAGAGAGAAGGAGAACATGAAGGAGAGAGGACTTAAATAGATAGAGTAAACAAAAGAAAGAACAAGAACAGAAGAAAAAAACTTATAAAAAAAAAAAAGAAAAAGATGAAGAAAGCAGAGAGATAAACGCGACGACTTTGCACACATTAAAAAGGTCCCACCGTTCGTATTAAGCCTTAAAAGCGCGGGTAATCCGGACCAAGCCGCGCTCGTCTGCGAAGATGCCAACGAAGGTCTGTGCTATCCAAAACTCTCCCCAATCGGCCCTGTCATCCCGTTCTGTGGCGTATTCTGCAATGCATTGGCTTATCAAAAACCATATCGACCCTCTTATATCTATCAACCGAAAAGCACCACAGTTATTTCCTTCACAAATTCTCTTCTCCCACTTTTATCCCTGCCTATTCTTGATTATTTTCTCCTTTTTCTGTAATGAAGTTACTCGCGGGCCTCCGATGAATGACTTCTTCCATTGGTTCATATAGCTACACACCGGTTTCGGGTCTTCTGTTCTTATCTGCGATACTGTGCAAGCCCCATTCCTTTCGTCTCGACTGTTCCCTCTCTCCTTCTGTCCTACTCTTCTCCCTTCGTTACCCTACCGTACCGCCCACTCTTCACCCGGGCCTATCCCCGGTCGCGTAAACTCTTGAGAGCGAAGACGGAATGGACATCTTCTTCCCATTCCACAGTGAATTTCCCTACCTTGTTCCCCTCTTCTTAACTAATCTATACAACTTTACGTTTAATCCCAAACTTAAACCAGCGCCACCTCCTCTCGTGCCGATGTCGGTGAAATCTACGCACATCTGCTCGCGCTTTCGTCCCAGACAAACCTTTCACACACGTGATATCGTACCCTCTCATCTCTTCCCCACAGGACAGCCCCCCCGTTGTCAGAAGACCTTTCCCGACACTCTTCCGCGTATTATTGGAAAAGCGCTCGCAAAGAACAGCCACATCTCCCCCCTTTTTACTCTCTACAATCACCTAACTGTAGTCATCCGCAAATCCAAGAATTATAACTCATCAACATCAGATCGGAAAGTCCACAACATAACCTGTTTCCCCTCTGCCTCCGGTCGTCCCACAAGTTATTTCAACAAGACACGCGGGGGCGGATAAATGCGCGTTTGTTATTGGCTCTTAATTTTCGTCCCCATTAGCAATAAACACAATTCTTTAACATACACACACACAAGATCAGTACAGACATGCGCGCTTGTCGAATCGAAATCCTCCTTTATAATGTCGCAACCGCCGAGCTGACTTCACAGAATTCGCGGCGATAACACGGGATCGCTTTCCCGCTCTCTGTCAATAAACACGAAACGCCACCCCCCCCCCCAAAAAAAAAAAAAAAAAAAAAAAAAAAAAAAACTGCACGTGTCTGGTTCTGTTCTTCAGTATTATTCAGATTTTCCTCCACCTCCCCCCCCCCCCCCCTTCACACACTGCCCACAATCAACCCCCGTGCCCCATCGGTATTCTTGCCCAGCGTCACGTGACTAAAAAACAAGCTCTATAGACACATATTCTCTCGAAATCAGAGAAGGAAATTATTATACCTCTCAACATGCATAACGAAAGAGAGAGAGGAGAAGAGAGAAGAGAGACGAGAGAGAGAGGAAGAGAGAGAGAGAGACAGAGAGAGAGATGAGAGATAGAGAGAGAGAGAGAGAGAGAGAGACGAGAAAAGAAGGAAAAAATAGAGAGAGATTGGATAAAGAAAAAAAACACCTACATTTTAACTCCGCTTTCGCCTCCCGTTTACCCCTCTCCTCCTCCCTCCCACCCTACCGCCCCTGCCACCACTTCCCCCACAATAACCAAATATCTTTTCTACAAGAATTTGTTGATAACGTAAGTTTGAAAGATAACCCATTGCTGTATTAATGCCTATGGCGGCTATTTAACACTCGTTCTGATAGGATTCCTCCGTTTTTCTTTTTTAATTCCTCACGTATTTTTATTTTCTCTTTAATTGACTCTAATATAGGGAGACTGGTCACTTAACTGTCGGATCAAAGGTTTAGGTGTTATGATTGGGTAAATAAATCCGTTTCGGTTAATGTTTCATGATGAAGAGAAAGACATAAATCAATTTTTTCTTTATTTACTGAAAATGAAAGAATAAAATGAGTCGGTTTAGATATG